CGATTCCCCGCGATTCCCCGCCTCCAGGTATCGTGTAAACTGCAAACCCAAAGTTTCATAGACATTTTTGTAACCGACTTCAAGCTATAGTTTTAATTGAGTATTTATCTCAAGAAAAAAGAAATACTCTACTAATTAGTAATTACTAATTAGTATTTATCTCAAGAAAAAGAAATTATTGTTTTATATATGCAATGTGTGTCGACTCCAAAAATGGTAGAAAAGTTGCCCTAGTATTCCTATAGATTTGTGTCCTTCCACATCACCATATGCAATGAGTGAGTTCTTCGTACCAATTTTATATTTCATAAATTTTGAAGCTGTGTGTGTGTGTGTGTTCATCTATGAGGTCTTTCTTTATACCAATTTTGTATTTTATGAATTTTGAAACAAGATCGATGCAACTGTGTGTGTGTGTTCATATGTGAGTTCTTTATAACAATATATTTTATGAATTTTGAAACAAGTTAGCCACGGTGTGTGTTCATATTACAATTTTACACATATAAATATTACTACCTTTACTTCCCCGTTGTTTCTAGGCTTCCTGTCAACTTGTCCATGTTTTGCACCTCTTCTCCATTACCTCCTATAAATCTTCTTAAAAATCCCTTCTAGAACCTTTTCTTTATTTACACTTTCCAGCAGTGTACTTAACAATTGGCAAAGGATCTTAATTGCATCATTAATATCTGATATTTTTAAGTATCATCATAGTCAATTGCCATCAGAAATTGCATGAGCTTCTAAACAACCACCCTTCGTTTATCAACTTTTCTCCATGCCCATAATGTGATTAGTTTTTCCACCTAAAGGCTCGTTTCCATGGCAAAAAAAGTTATTTTCTAGTAACAAGTTTGGAACACGAATCATACTAGCTAGGATGAGAAGCAAAGGATCTATCTAGTTCACCTATATATTTTTGATATAGATTCACTACTTGTTGTTAATAGCTAGTGACCATTGATATATTGTTCATCTGTTTTTCCAACTTCCATCTTCAATCTTTGATATATATATAATGTGTTTTATTATTCATATTGATCGAGAAACAACCAATTATTTTCCCAATATTTTTTCTGTTTATATTAAGATACTAACACAATTTTTTCCTAGGGTGTGGCTGAGGGTACCGTATCTCAACCTAGAACCTCCTCTTTTCTTCACAGTTAACAGTGGTTTCCCAGAACCTCCCCCCTTTACCTCCCATACTAACACCCTCATTGCATTTGCGTATGTAAAGATGATGAGGATCGGAGGGTAGTATCAAAGTTTGGGAAGAAGAGCAGCAGAGGTAAACAAATAAAAACACTACTCACTCTAGCACATTGCCAAAATTTGGGTACTACGTACAACTATGTAAAAATGGGGCATTGATTTGGTTATATCACCTACTTTATCTTACTACTTCCATGTGCTAAAAGAAATTTGATACGTGCAGATTTACTTCAACCTTTACCGAACATAGAAATCCCACCCATGGAAATTGCTAGTGTTGTCTTTCTCTCCGAGTATGAGATTCCAAGAGAAATTGGTAAGTATAGTTTTGTCTTTTGATTGCAAATAAATAAACATCTCCTTTCTGAACTAACTCTTGAAAATAATATGGGCTTGCTTGATTTGTTGATGCCTTGAATAACTTGCTTCACCTTATTGTATTATTTTTATATTGAGTTTGGTATCCCTATGCACATGCACAAATGCAAATAAAATTAATTATCTGTATGAATATTGTATTTATAAATTTGATCATTAATAAATGAATAACGTATTTACACTATATTTATCTATATATAAATAAGTATATAAATGGCATAAAATGTAATTAATAATATATTTTTACAAATTTAAGAGTCGTGACCAATTAATTAATTGAGAAAAATTTTAATTCACTATTATTACAAAAGTTATTTATACAATTTGAAGGGGTTCAATTTGCTATGCCATTAAAATCATTTAGTTATTAAAAAAAACTTAATGAGATAAAAATAAAATGAAATACTATTTTCAAATAAATAACTTGAAAAAAAAGTTTTGATTTTATGAGTATATAACTTTCCTAAAAATTTGTGTGAATTTATCATTAGTTAATGCTGGTAGTAATTATTATATGATAAATTAGTTAAAAGAAAATATTATTACACTTAATAAATCCAAAATGTAACGGTCAGTTTTCATAAATAAATAAAAAAAGAGTAGAAAATAACATTAAGGCAAGTACAATTTATAAATGAAGAAAATACTGAAATAATAAAAAATGCAAATAAAGTCCTAGCTAATAGTAATTTAATGAAAACACTTCTAAGAAATAATTATATGCAAATCGGCCCCTGTTAATCAGACCCTGCTACTGGGTGGTCTGCTGTTTTGATACGAGCTCGGTGGCTCGGGTATATGGATTCTTAAGGTTTCGGCCTAGTATGCATCATCTCGTCCCTTCAAGTATGTCCTTGTCCTCAAGGACAAAATTCAAAAATCGGTAACAGATGTCCTGTAAATTCTCCCAAGTTGCCTCCTCCACGACAAATTCCTCCCACTCAATCAAAACATCCCAATGGAAGCATCTTGCCTTTTTTATTAGCCCGGACTGGCCGAACAATGAGATTTCCCTCCTGCACCACCGACACGCCAGAATCTTTTGGTAGTGCGAAGGCTCTTCTCCATGTAAAATATGGGTAACCAAATGAATTTTTGAGAATCCATCGGCAATTCAAGCTTGTATGCAATCTCGCCCACTCTTCCTTGACTTTAACATCAAGAACATGAACAAAGCCATCAACTCTAGTATAATCATCCTCACAACAATCACACATTAAATAATCATCCTCACAACAATCACACATTAAATAGTCATCGCAACAATCATTGCCAGAATTACTGTCCGAAACGCGTTCCAACTCAAACGATTCATGAGCATAGACCAACTTTTCTTCCTCGATCATATATTTAAAGTACTGATCCGTGTAAAAAACACGAGGCCTATCACATCCATCATTTTCTTTGCAGGAAGAGAGAATGAGCAATCATCGCCTGCAAAAGTTGTCCAATCGTCTACTGTTTGATCTTTTAACCCACTCCCTTAGTTTATCCATCCTGTAAGTTTACCCATCCTATAAATCAGAATCTCAGCAAACGTACCCATAACAGACGTATTTGGCAACCTACATCTATATGCATCATCAGGTCTTCACGACACTTGCTGAATCTTTTGTCCTTATCAGTCGACCCCTTGATCAAATACAACTCCCTATCATACATTCCAACCAAACACCTGTTAGAAGCATAATTGAATAAATGATACATGACTATATTTCTCCCGAATTCAGAAGCAAACACCCACATGGCCCCATTCGCATCTACCACATAAAATATGTTAAAGAACACAACATCAAGATCAAAATCTCAGTTGACAAAAACCTTAATTTTTTCTTAGGCTTGTAGAGATGAAAGAGAATATCTATATACAAAGTTTTCTTTTTTACTTTTCTTAGCGTGTTCTCGTATGTCTTCCATGCACTATATATACAGTGCTTCAAAGACAACAAATTCAATGCATGAGAGATGCTTTAATGCTGCCATTAAGACATCTATAACGCAAAAGTTACTGCAATGTTTCAATCTCACTTCTCAAACCGAACAAATGTAATGTTCGGTTAAGGTTTGCTAAAATGAATTTGGACATTTACATTTTAACATTAAACACACCGTTTTATCTAAGGATTCCCACAAAATATTTTTACATGTAATTCTTATTAGAACAACCACCAATAATGCACCAACAATGACGATCGTGTATCGAAAAGATAAATTGCGACAACTAGCACTGATGGCTGTCAGTTATTCAAGAGAATTTGTGCTAGAAACCTAGCGGTTTTTTATATGTTATTGTTGAAGTTTTGCCAATCGACCAGTACAACTTATAACGGAAGAAAATTGCAAATATGGTCCTAGTTAATAGTAATTAACGAAAGCACTCTTAAGAAATAATAATATGCAAATTGACCCCCTGCTAATCGGCCCCTGCTATAGCGCGCTGTGCTACTTTGATGCGAGCTCGCCAAGCTCGGTTATATGCATTATTAAGGTGTCGGCCCTTGTCCGCATTAATATCCTAGAACATTAGAGACTGTAATTTTATATTTAGTTATTTTCTTCTCAATGCAGGTCCAGATGATCTGTATTATGATTGTAGACAGAACAACGCTGTTGAATTCATGAAGAATATCTTCGATTTGGATGAATATTCAAGTCGTCATGTAGACCCGTTAATACCTCAAGCTGATAGAGTAATACAACGAGGGGAATTAAGAGGCTTCTTAGAAGATTTCAAAAGAGCTGCCTTACTTGAGCGTTATGGAAGAACTCGCGAGGTATTATTAATCTTTTTAAGACCTGATGTGTTAAATTTTATTGGCTTAAATTAATTATTTTTTATAATAGGTGAATCATGCTGCCATAGAGAACACGGGCATTGCGGCATTGCATGCTCTATCAAAAATCCTACTTGATCATGCCAGCTTTGAGCATTATGGGTATCTCTTTCTTTACAAAGTCTTTCTTTTATTGTCTTCATTTAAGGCTGATTACACCTTATGCATGTATTTGTCTTCAAATGCAGCGATTCAAGCTATCTTACGACGGCAGATGCTACTTTCATAGGGATAGCATTGCCAGCTTGTGTGGTAAGATAATTGGAGTAAAACTTTGAAACTTATTATTATTTTTTTACACGGAAATAATATTTAGTACCTTTTACAGGATGATAACTCTGTGCTAAGAGACACCATCATGAATCTGGGGAATTTAGCAGCATTGTTGGTGCGATTCTTACATAGACACGTGAAACCAAAGAGGGGTAAAAATTTCCTTTCTTCAATCTTCATATCTATTTATTTTAAAATAATCTCTTATTTTGCAATGCTTATGTTGGACATCATTTGAGTGCCTCATAGAATTTGGGTTGACTAATCCAATTGATTAGATCGACATAGGTTAAATGTGATTTTCCTAAAATCACAAGTATGAGGATTATAAATTTACTAAAATTTGAAGCAAAGAAAAGTAAAGTTTTTGAGATGATTTCCTTTCCTTTTCTTATACATGTTAAAACTCTCGCTTAACTAATGAACTCGTATGACCTAGACACTTTAGTATGTCATTTTGATCCTTTCTAAGTGTAGCATCCACTGAAGAACTCTAAATCGACTTAAGAATTTCAGTCATAGCAATACGAATGAATCTGATTGCTAACTATCTAATGCATTGAAATCTCTAAGATGAATGAATTCGTAAATTTCGAGTTTGTGCTATGGACAAAGTTAGACATGACAGGTAGATTCATCTAAATCTTCAAGATCTTCATGCGTAACTTCTGTAAGAAGATAATAGTGACATACGTTATCAACGATACCATAGAAGTGTGATATTGCTCTAAATTGACATGTTTCTTCTTGTATCTTATCTTCGAAAAACAATTTTTTTGTCAATATATTTTATGTCAAATCTTCAAAGAACACAAGCTTTTCAAATCAATGTAGTTTTCTCTCTATCTGGCGGTTCTCTCTTTCCTTCTATTTCTGCATTATTTGTTTTCTTACAGGTAAGGAAGACAATTAAACACATACTTCATAATACATTGTAAGAGAATATTATAATAAGGAAGAAGACTAAGATATAACTGTTCTAAAACTTGTATTTTCCAAGATCATTCATTAAATGATGATAATCGTCCTTATGTATAATTTACCTGAGCCTAAGTGGCAAGCTCGTATGTTTCGTAAGCTTATTTGACATAAATTGGTGTTTCTTATTGACAAATATTCAAGTTTGGTTTTGAGTTAGGCTTGAGAATTACGATAAACTATTTTAGCTTTTTGTTCTTTTTAAGTACCATATACTACTCTTACATTTTCTTATTCAATTTATATATTAATTATCTTGAGTTAGTATTCTTTTTTATTTTTAAAACATTATAAAATTTTTATTTGTATTTTTTTTCATGATATATTAATTTTTTTTTTTTTTTTAAAGTTCTTCGATTTGAAATCCACATTGCATTTAAAATAATTTCATCTATCTCTATAGACAAAACTAATTTTATTATCAAATAATTTTCTAAAATATCAAATAATAATATAAGTTATTTTATATAAATAATAAAAATCTAATTCATCAATATACCATAAAATAATCAATATAATGTGTGTTTGTTCATAGATTTTGGATAAAAGATGGAAATCAAGTATTATATAAAATAAATTATAAAAAATATCATAAAATATTATTTTTTTGATTTAAATATATTATACAAGGAATTGAATGTTATTATGTTGTTTAAAATAATAAATATAACGGGATATCATGATTATATATAATTTAACTCACATAATTTTATTTTAGCTAACCATCAATTCCAATCATTTTCTCCTACTTCACATACAATCAACTTTAACTATTTTATTTTTAATATTATTTTAATTTAAAATTAATTTTTCCGCTAACAACTAATCATACCACATTTTTAAAAATTAACTATGGTTAACAAAAAAACAAATCACAAATCAATCAAATCCATATCCAATCACACCCTTAACGTTTCATAAATTTAGAAAATAATACATTTTTGCGTATTAATATTCTAAATTATTAAATTATATAAATCCATAGTACTTGAAAAATTAATAAACGAGAGACACCGAATCTATAAATATAAAGCACAATCACAATACAATAAAACTAGCTTTGTTTTGAAATTTTTTGATAATAAAATTAGTTTTGTCTATAGAGATAGATGAAATTATTTTAAATGCAATGTGGATTTCAAATCGAAGAACTTTAAAATAAAAAAAAAAATTAATATATCATTAAAAAAAATACAAATAAAAATTTTATAATGTTTTAAAAATAAAAAAGAATACTAACTCAAGATAATTAATAAATAAATTGAATAAGAAAATGTAAGAGTAGTATATGGTGCTTAAAAAGAACAAAAAGCTAAAATAGTTTATCGTAATTCTCAAGCCTAATACTCAGAACCAAACTTGAATATTTGTCAATAAGAAACACCAATTTATGTCAAATAAGCTTACGAAACATATGAGCTTGCCACTTAGGCTCAGGTAAATTATACATAAGGACGAGTATCCGTGTAGTTTTTTCAGCACAAATAAAGTCTCGTTGATCTTTCCTTAGCCTGTTGACAGTGCTTGCATCGATTAAAAAATCCCCAACATCTAAAGGCTTTATGCTACTTTCAGAATTTGTTTGTGCCGAATTAGTATTTCGACATGAATATACAATCTACTAATTAATAGCCTAGTAAAGAGATCTCATTACTTTTCTGATCGATCATATTGAATCAGAATGTACTAATTTGAACCGACCGAATGGACAACATCTTATCATACTTGTTAACCTGTCTTTGGTTTTATATTTTCCGACAATTTTATCAATATTTCCATCTTTTAATTGTTAGTTACCCTTCCGCGTAATCTCAAACAGAAGCAATGATATCATTAAATAAGGAGTTTAAAATCGATAAAGCACCTCAAAGGTAATCACAAAACAGAAGCAATGATATCATTAAGAAAATGAGTTCCAAAACACCTCACAGGTATAGTTAGAAAACAGAGGCAATGGTATCATCAAATAAGGAGTTTCAAAATCTATAAAGTGCCTCACAAGTTCCATTGAGGTAGTACACATTCACAGACAAAGTCATGCACATTCCATCACCAGTTCCACTGAGGTATTACACACATGAAACCATGTCATGCTAGGTGGACCTTTTGATCTCGCGCAATCTATCAAATACCATGTAGGCTCGGGGTCTTCTAGCTTGCCCTATCTCCATGCAGTCAAGGGCTAATCTTATAAGTTCTCCAGCACGAGTAACATTTGAATTGGGCCCCAACAAAGATTCCCGGAAGCAAATCTCATTCAAACTCTTTCCCTCTATCAGACATCGAGGTACCATGTTACGTCTCATTTCTGCTTCATATGTGATAAGTTTCACAATAATGTACCCAAAATAATATATGTCACTTTTCCTCGTGACTGCAAAACAACGAAAATAAATAACATATACAACGATTTAATATAAACTTCTAAATCACAATATATCTATATCTATCTATATGTATATAAAAGAGGACTCGGATTTATAAAAAACTGCACAAGTGCCTGTGTTTCATAAATTTTAATGGTACTTTGACATTTTTAAACTAAATAAAGTGATGTAATAAGAAAATGTGAGTATTTATTATAAAAAAAAAAATCCTCCAAGCTCTTAATGTGTAAGTATTCCTTATATAAACAAAATCCAACTCATCCAACATGTTACATATATTGGTATATAATTTGCTTTCATCATGGAAAAAAATCCAGATATTGGCCTGATTCATTTGTCTTAAAACATAAATGAACAAAGCTAACAGTAGTTTCATTTCTCTAGATTTTGGATATTTGCCTGAGTTCATTTGTCAAATATAAATTTGGCATGCAAAACGCAAAAAGACGGCTTAATCTGTGGATAAAATATAACTTTTCCAAAAAAATCTACTGATAAGTGTGAAAATATAAGTTGGGTAAGTAAAATTCTATCCAACACAAATGCATTTTACTAGTATAAAGAAAGGGAGATATACCATATACAAAAGAGTTGAAATTAAAAGACTCTTGATCAAGTTCTCTATCCTTTTTTCTGCGAAATTCGGAATGCTGATTCCCGAAGTCAGCAATGAAAGCTCGAGAATCCTGCAAACATTAACAAATTAAATTAAAATTAAAACTATAGAATATATAGATAAAAGTGAAACATTTGTATCGGAGAACCTTACCTTCATCAAAATATTTGCCGGTCGCAAATCTCCACGAGCAACATTATTTTGGAGGTAGTGTGAATGACATAACATGAGGCCGAATGAGATGTCGGTCAAAATTATCAAGGCGGAATCCCAAGTTATGTCGCAATCTAAATCATAAATATATCGACTGTTTTAAATAATTTTCGAATATATGATATATTT